CCCCTGCCTTGACCATCTGCTAACACTCAAATGGGCTTCCTCAGCTGCAGAGACCTAGAGCTGAAACAGACCCCAYCCTCCTGCAGAAGCAGAGGAACTGAGTCTCATCACTATGCCACCCTGAGGAGTTCTAGACACAGAAGACCCAACCACAAAACACAGGACAATTTGGAAGAAAGACACACGTGAMAGTGGAAGTGCTCCTTTCCTAGTCTATCTCTGTGAGAGTTAGTTCCCCTTGGGCTATTAAAGATACAATGACCCATCTGAGGACATTCTTATGCGGGTTGACCAATCAGCATAAAGAACCTAAAACAATACTTGACACCAAACAGGGCTCAAAATGTTAGTCACCTTGACCTTATAAGGGGTCAAAACATGAAATAAATGTTTTGATTTGTTTTAGATATCCTAACACCCAACAGAGAGAAATACTTCTTGATTGGAAGAAYGCCAACTTTTAAAAAGTTTATCAAAAGTCCTAACACTGATGGCTTTTTATTTTTTAATAGACAAAATGTATTCAGCACTGGAGGCCGTGGTCTGTGCAGAGAGCTCTCAGAGCATCTCTAGTTATCTTCTCATAATAAACTTACAGGGAAATCGCCTCATAAGGACTTTTAAATAGCAGCCTCGTTTTATAGATGAAGAAACCAACAAAATGAGTTCCAGAAAATGAAATGTGATTTCAATACTTAAGTTCAAACCTTGAAAATGGTGTATTTGTTTTGTGTCACCGGAAAGTTAAGAGGTAAACTATTTTTAAAGGAATCATATAAAAAACTACCCCTATTCTGGCTGGGAGTGGCACACACCTTCAATCCTAGCAGCTTGGGAGGCCGAGAGACAGAAGGATSGTGAGTTCAAAGCCAGCCTCAGCAATTTAGCATGGCCTTAAGCAACTCAGTGAGACTTTGTCTCTAAATAAARTACAAAATAGGGCTGGGGATGTGGCTCAGTGGTCGAGTGCCCAGAGTTCAATCCCYTGTACCTCCCACCCTGGGGGGGRAAAAACAACAACAACAACAACAACAAAACTACTCTTACGCACTGAGATAATCACTCATTAACTTAGCTTCAACTTGGGTTAGGTGTTTCATTAAATGTCCCCTACCCTCTCCAAATTGGGTTTTCCTTGAGATCAACTCTTATAAGTCATTTTTCATTTCAACCCTCTACTTCTGAACTTCAACTCCTTACAGCTAATGTTGACAGTACTCCCTTGGACCACAAAAGCGTCCTTCTGACGGTGCCTGAACACTGCACAGTGCATTGCACCGCCGCCATCTGGTGGACATAAATAAAATTTCACCATGCCACGCTGCCACCAGAAACTCTGAACTCAGGTATACATTCATGCCGTGGTATCTGCAGGAGRTTGGTTTATCAGGATGTAACTCCATTGGAAGTTGAGGAGCATTGTATTCCTCTGGGTACAAGAAGGTGGACTCCAAGTTGGGGTTGTGGTTCAGTGGTAGAGTGCTTGCCTAGCATGTGTGAGGCACTGGGTTTGATTCTCAGCACCACACTCAATCAATAAATAAAATTTTAAAATTAATCAACAAAGAATAAAAATGTTTTTGAAAAAAGAAGCTGGACTCCATTTCTTAGCCATTGAGGTATTTTACTCTAAAGTGAAAGGGAGGTTTATATAAAATTCTTAAATTCCCTCTGAAGCTTCACTTACATGCTAAATTTCAGGTACAAAAGTTTTTTAATGCAAGATTTATGAAAATAAAAACATCCTTTAATGAATGTTTTATAGGAAAAAAACTTCAYATTTTTAAAGATGACTTAAATCTTGCTTCTTAAAATACAGAAATAGTGCGATCCTTCAGCATATTTGCATAGTCTTCTACAAATATGGATCTGAAATTAATAATAGGTAAAGAATAAGTGACTTCAAAAACACTTCTCATCCTTGTAACACAGAGTTACTACGTCCTTATGATGTTCTAATAATATTCTAGTTCTGGGGGMTGGGGCTGGAGCTGAGTGGCAGAATGCTTTCCCAGGCACTGGGTTCAATCTCAGCACCACATAAAAATAAACAACTAAAATAAAGGCATTCTGTCCTCCTACAACTATAAAAAACAGCATGGTACTGGTACCAAAACAGGTGGGTGGACCAATGGTACACAATAGAGGACACAGAGACTAATCCACAAAGCTACAACTATCATATTTGATAAAGGAGCTAAAAGCATGCAATGGAGGAAGGATAGCATCTTCAACAAATGGTGCTGGGAAAACTGGAAATCCATATGCAACAAAATGAAACTGAATCCCCTCCTCTCGCCATGCACAAAAGTTAACTCAAAGTGGATCAAGGAGCTTGATATCAAATCAGAGACTCTGCGTCTAATAGAAGAAAAAGTTGGCTACAATCTACATATTGTGGGGTCGGATTCCAAATTCCTTAATAGGACACCCATAGCACAAGAGTTAATAACAAGAATCAACAAATGGGACTTACTTAAACTGAAAATTTTTTTCTCAGCAAGAGAAACAATAAGAGAGGTAAATAGGGAGCCTACATCATGGGAACAAATTTTTACTCCTCACACTTCAGATAGAGCCCTAATATCCAGAGTATACAAAGAACTCAAAAAATTAGACAATAAGATAACAAATAACCCAATCAACAAATGGGCCAAGGACCTGAACAGACACTTCTCAGAGGAGGACATACAATCAATCAACAAGGACATGAAAAAATGCTCACCATCTCTAGCAGTAAGAGAAATGCAAATCAAAACCACCCTAAGATACCATCTCACTCCAGTAAGATTGGCAGCCATTATGAAGTCAAACAACAGCAAGTGCTGGCGAGGATGTGGGGAAAAGGGTACACTTGTACATTGCTGGTGGGACTGCAAACTGGTGTGGCCAATTTGGAAAGCAGTATGGAGATTCCTGGAAAAGCTGGGAATGGAACCACCATTTGACCCAGCTATTGCCCTTCTCGGACTATTCCCTGAAGACCTTAAAAGAGCGTACTACAGGGATACTGCCACATCGATGTTCATAGCAGCACAATTCACAATTGCTAGACTGCGGAACCAACCCAGATGCCCTTCAATAGATGAATGGATAAAAAAAGTGGCATTTATACACCATGGAGTATTACACAGCACTAAAAAAATGACAAAATCATGGAATTTGCAGGGAAATGGATGGCACTAGAGCAGATTATGCTTAGTGAAGCTAGACAATCCCTAAAAAACAAATACCAAATGTCTTCTTTGATATAATGAGAGCAACTAAGAACAGAGCAGGGAGGAAGAGCAGGAAGAAAAGATTAACATTAAACAGAGACATGAGGTGGGAGGGAAAGGGAGAGAGAAGGGAAATTGCATGGAAATGGAGGGAGACCCTCATTGTTATACAAAACTACATATAAGAGGTTGTGAGGGGAATGGGAAAATAAACAAGGAGAGAAATGAATTACAGTAGATGGGGTAGAGAGAGAAGATGGGAGGGGAGGGGAGGGGGGATAGTGGAGGATAGGAAAGGTAGCAGAATACAACAGTTACTAATAGGGCATTATGTAAAAATGTGGATGTGTAACCGATGTGATTCTGCAATCTGTATTTGGGGTAAAAATGGGAGTTCATAACCCACTTGAATCTAATGTATGAAATATGATATGTCAAAAGCTTTGTAATGTTTTGAACAACCAATAAAAAAAAAAACAAAGACAAAAAAATAAATAAATAAATAAAGATATTGTGTCCAACTACAACTAAAAAATAATTTAAACAAAAAAGAAGGTATCACTTCATGTAGAAAAAGCATACTCTATGTAGAGGTAGTCTTTAGCTGGCAAAGTAGCAATTCACAAATTTTTTATGGATTTATGACTCATGCTGAACTGATACAAAAGTAATTATTGATGTRATTAATTATTTTTCATCCCTCAAAACCAAATTTGTTATTTCAGCACCTCTATGTGTTGCTCCAAGAACATTAGTAAACATTCTACTCTAAGTCCATTCTAGACAACAGGCACAGATTTCCAAGTCCTGTAAGACTTGTTATACCATCCTAGAACYATGGAGTGGAAGGGTTCTCAAAAGGTTGCCTGATTAACACCCAGGCAACATAGCACAATTATGCAAAATGATCCATGGTCTATAATCTAGTCAAGCTTATTTATACTTCTGGGAAGCAATATGTTTTTATTTCTATCAAATTAATATTTCATTAAAGCAGGAAAAGACACAAAGAAATCTGTCAAATTCTTCACGGCAGTTCTCTTTCCAGAAGAGAATGTTGAAGTCTCCGTTCTTTTCTTTTCCAGATTAAATCRTTCCAGCTCCTTTAATTTTCCTTCCCAAAGAATGTCTTAATATTTTTGTCTCCACTTTTTCTGATCCCTTCATATTTTTTGTCTTTTAATACTATTTAAAAGATTATAATTTCTAGGAAAAGTACTTTCTAGTACTTTCTAGCAGCTTAGTGGTAGAGCACCTTTTTTCAGTGTGAAAATGGTGAATCGTGTCCCATAGACATAGATGTTCTGAGGGTCCAGGACTCAACATATTTGGCACAAGAACTAGGACATTGTGATGAAGGTCTTTTAATTATACATTTTATCAGATCAGTAGTTAAAATTAATAAATGAAGCACTTTAAGTCTATGTCTATTCCATTTATTTAAGAATATATTCAATAAACATGTTATATAAAGCCAACAATATAAAAAGACATAATTCTTGTCCTAGGCATATYTTTGATGCCCTAGACAAAAATTCATGTATACAAGAAATCACAAGTTCAGAACAAAACCACATAAAATCTGTAAATGCTGAAAAAACAAAAGAACAGAGTAATAATAAAAGTCAAATCAGTTCATCCCAGGGTAAGATTTATAGGGTAAGCTCATTTTTAAAGAGTAGGAAATTTACTTAGAGGTCATCTATAATGTCCATCCCAATGTTCCATCTTATTTCGGAAAAAAAAAATAATTACAAAGAAAGATGGTGCTGATATTACAAATTAAAAATCATCTTGCCTATTACTGCTTTCAAGATCAATTAAATTTAATTGGTTTTCCTCTTCCCAAATGAGAAGATTTTCACCCTCAAAAATATAATGTATTTTTAATATATTTCTATTAATAACATTGAAGGATGTCTCAACTTGGCAAATATCTAGCAGGCAGGTTTGACAAAGCATTTCAAAGAAGAAACGACAGTTGACATTTTCTCTTACTACTTGATTGAGATTTGTTCTTGAGTTCTGAAATCTGTCATTTAATAAGTTGTTATTCTCATCAACTGTCTTAAAAACACCATTTGTCCAGTTGCTGGGGTTTTGTTTTTCTGAATTCCCGTCACCCACAACTAACAATGATTTGTGCAAGAAGTTTACACAAAACCTTTTCTTTAAATATAACTGAAATTTCTTTAAATTGCTTTCTTCCTCTAAGCCCAAGAACTTAATTCTTTTTGGTTTCCTTCTTTTATCCATCAAGTCAAACATTTTATTGAAATAAAGTCTATCAAATGGATCGTCAATAGCGTTATCCACAAATTCTTTTCTCCTGATTGAATGATCATCCTGATTCTTGAATGTGTTTTTGTTTGACTGTGGCCAATAGGGGTATATTTTCATCCCTAAATGGAAACCCCAGGAATTTTCAATATCAGAATCTTTGCGATAAGCAAATCCTCTATCTTCCTCATTTAAAGGTTGGATGATGACGGTTAGTATGGGGCAGTGTTGACCACAAAGAGCGTAGAGTTTATCCAGAGAGTCGCCTTCCGGAAGTGTACTGTGAGTTACAGAACTGCCAGGTAACGGTTGGGTTTTAATGATCTCATCAGAGACGGGGTGAACTTTGTTACTAGAAGATGTAAAGGCATGAGTGACTGACGTGCATACTCTTTCTGATTGAGGATTACCCTTCTCTTCTGTGCGATCTGGTGGTCTCTCCTTGGCAGAGGTGTTATTCTCAACATCTGCAAAATCCTCACCGAAGGGTTCAGAGTCGCTCCCATGAGGCAAGTTAAAGTAATTGCATCTCAGTTCAAGAGGTTGAGTGAGCTCCTCCAGCTCTGAAGAGGATAATTCAGTCATGTTTGAGCCTGGGATCAAATTTCCAAAATGTGAATATGGCACCTCGTTGCTGTTATTATCAAGGAGGGTATCGACTGATGTAGTGTCTGCATTGCCATACATGCCAGGATTCTCAGATGACACCCTGAGCAGATGATTTTCTTTCAAAAGCCACTTGCCTTTGTCAATCAGTTTTCCTTCCTCTTTGTCTCTGAGGACCCTGTTAGGATCATTTTGTTTTATAGTACCATGGTCTGCCATGTCGACCTCATGATAACTGTCCCCCATACCATTAGCATCACGTTGACCTTGTCTTTCCTCCTGGAATTCCTGCAACATCRGGGATCTCCTAGACACCTGTTCAGAGAAGCCAAATGACCGACCTTCAGAAACACAAGAATTTGCTTTCTTTGCACACTGAAACCCCACAGAATTGTCAGGAGAAACTTGAGATCTGTGTAAAGACCCTGGAAAAAAAGATGGTTTCATACTCTCTGCCTTCCCATAAAGTTTTTCTATGGCCCTTTTAACAAACCCTTTATTATATTCTTTCTCTTGGGCAGTGTCATCACTGTCATTGTGGTCATCGCTGGATGTTTTATGTGGCTGCTCGCTTTCGCTGTCTGGCCTATAGTCTGACCAGTCAGAAGTTGCCGGGCTTTTGAAGCATTTTTTGAAATCAAGAGAGGACTCTGAACAACTCCCAGCTTCTCTGCGCCTCACTGTCATTTTAGCTCTCCTCTTAGCATCTCCTTCACTAATCTCTTTTTCAGTATTTTGCTTAGAATCGTAACAAAACACCAAAGATGGGGGTGTCACCTGCCTCGGATTGGTGGTCTCAGAAATTACATCATTCCTTCTTTCTTCTTCTCTAATATTCCTACTAGACATGTGGATGGATTGCAAATTTCCACCAGCCTCTATCTCTTTTTGGATGGATTCTTCAGTGGTTTGCTCTTCTGCATTTACCTTGGTATTAAAGATACCAGTGTCTTGGTTTTCTAATTCTTCAAAGGACTCCAATTCCGAGATATTATTTCCTTCACTTGATGTCATGCTGTTGGTGACTGAACCTGGTTCTTCAGAAGTTCTTGAGTCTTCCTTATCCAAGGAAGTGTAGGTATTTTTATCCTGAAATTTCTTTAGTGAACAGTTTTCAAATTCATCTGAAGAACTCTGTTGCTTATCAAACTCGAGATCAGTTTTACTCGAGAAAAGGCCACCAGGGCTTAAATCACTGACATCCCGAAGTGACGCTGATGTATTAAAGCCACTTTTATACTCAGAGTCTGCCGAAACATGTAGGTCTTTCTCAACTTCATCAACTCTTCTCGACTCTTCGCTTAATTCCAATGAATCAATGTATTTGTTTTCTTGGGAGTCTAAAATGTCAATAGTATTGAGGACTCTGGTGGGAATGTGGGTCTCATCAGTTGAGCAAACTGCCTCATAGATATTTTCCTCTTCAGCGTAAGCTTCCTGGAAAAACTCAGCATCAGGAAGTGCACAGATCTGTCCTAGGAAACAAGGTTGACTCAAGGAGGTCTGATCCCCAACACCATCATCACCAGGGGAACCAGCTTCGCTGGGGTGACATGTTTCTGCGGGAGGGTAAGTGTCATCCACAGTGCCTACTGCACACAGAGAGCAAGGCGTTTCTGGAACACAGACCTCAGAATCACAGACCTGATCGGTAGAATCCTGAAAATCTCTCTCCAAAGAGATTTTCAGGGTTCTTCCATTTCCACTGCAGTCAGAAACTCCCTGAATGTTGGCTGTGACACAATTGGCAGACAGACCTCCCGGAACCCTACCCGGTTCTTCCCCGCTGGGTCCAGGGCAACGTTTCGTGGCTTCCACTAAATGGGCAACCGCAGCCTTCAACTCATCAGCTTCCTCTGTGACGGCCACGTGCTTTAGAACTTCCAACAGGGCAAGTGTCTCTGAAGATCGGCTGGTGATCTTGTGAGCATCCCCTTGACAGAAGCTAGTGATACCTCCCTTTAGGTTTAGCACCAACAGCCAAGCCAGAAGAAGATTAGTGGATGAATTACACAGGGAAGAAGGGAAAGAAACATCTGCAAGTGAACCTGGCATCTGAACGACTCCATTCTGAGGCTTGTGGACACCCGCAGCTGGAGCTTGAAATTGGCGAAGCAGCAGGACTGATAAGAGGTCTTTGGGAGAGCTCTCTTCCRTAGGATCTACTTGGATGGCAACCTCTACACTTTGTGCTTTCTTAGCTAGGTTTATTCCCTGGCAAACAAGGCTCATTTCTGGTCCTGACTTTTCAGCAGATCTCTGGCTTTTAGTCTTAGGGTCATTGACAGCTGGTTGTGACAATGTACCATATTCGTGCAGTGAAACCAAGTGGGCGCCATTCACAGATCCAACCTGACTCTCATCAAGATCTTTAGGTTCTTCACCGTCATCTTTGGCAAGAGGAGATTCACCTGCCTCTTTACAGAGATTATCTCCTGTCAAAGTGGCATTTTTAGTCATGTGCTTACTACTTTGCAGGACAAAATCATTTCCTTTTGCAGTATTTGTGTGGGGATGATTTCCTGGAGAACCGCCATGATTATAATTTACCACTCTCCTTTCATTTTTGCATAGTGGAGCTGACRTTCCAGGTTCTAAAGTTGGATACGGATTTATGTTCTGCAACCATCTCTGTATATAATTATGAACCGAATTATGGGCAATATCCTCAAGGAAATCAGCTTTTCTCAAAGAAGCTAAAGAATTGGTCCTAGCTCTAGCATGGTGCTTATTTACAATAGCACCTGATTTCAATTTAACCCCTTTCCGTTTGGGGGGGCTTTTTGAAATTATGKGTGAATCATTAATTTTTGGAAATAAACTCTTTTTGGCCATTCCTCTCAAATTCCCAGATGCTATTTCTGCTTGAGACTCTGGATCACAAAAAACTTTTGATGTTTGTTCAGTGTGATTAAACACATGAAATGAACTTTGATTTTTTAAAGTGCTTTTGTAATATTTAGATTCGTTRTGGGCTAGTACTTTATCTCCCTGACCAATTTCTCTTTTTTGGGGTGTTCCTAAACTTGATCTCTTTAGTAGCCTGGATTTTCTTTTGATTAAAAGTCCTTGAACCTTAGRGTTTTGAATAGTATTTAATTTATTTCTATGGAAATTCTTAGAAATTGTGGGATGGAGAATACTTTTGGAATAAAAATGATTTGATTTGATTACCATATCACTTGTATGGGGGTCTTCCTCACAAAGTGTCCCTCCTTTAAGGGGACGGTGTGAACCTTTCAACACGGTGGCTTCTGCAATTCTATCTCCTGTATTTATTCTCTTACTCTTTTTGGAGATTTCTTTGGTGGCAATTACCCCATCTTGATACCTGGAACTTATTACTTGCGGCTGAACTTTCTTCTTCTTTTTCCGGAAAACAGATAATACAGTCTGTTTTTGATTTTCTGGCAGTTCTGTTAAACCACGCTGAGAAAATTCATCAGTTAATCTGTCAATTCTTGTGGTGACAGTAGAAGACCCTACGGAAACGGTGGCCTCAGAAATACTTCTGTCAGTCCCAGAATTGTTACTTGTAGAGCTCGTGACATCTGCTGAAATAGGACTGAACGTATCACTGGTGCTATTGTAAGTTCTTAAGTTCTTGATATCAGTTTTGTTGTCTGATATGACACTATTAACTGTACTTTCTTCCACAGTGGAGTTCTCTGATGTTGATGATGATAAGCCACTATTATGGGACATCTTTACCATCTTCTGACCTGTAATTTCTATAATACCAGCACCTATTGCTCTTGATTTGGGGAGTCTACTTTCCTTTTTTCTTTCTAAAGATGACTCCATCTGCTCATTCTGATTGTTCTGAACAAATACTGGTTTGTTGGATACAGATGACATTTTACTGCAAGAATGTGTGAACATGTGATATTCAGATTTGTTTTTCCCACCTTCCCTTTCTTCACTATAGGAAAACTGTTTCTCTTGAACTTCTGTTTCAGATACTAGGGTCACACTCCCCATCACTGATTTCTTTTGTCTTGCTCTCCTTGGTCCAGGTGTAGGTGGTCTATGAAAACGATGCTTCACTTGATTCTGAGTTCCATGGATGTTACCTGTGTCCAAAGCAGCATTCTCCCAACTAGCAAAACTGCAAGTTTCAGCCTCTTGAACTGTCATTTGAGTGTTTATTTCTTCTGCTAAACTGGCCTCTTGATTATTGCCTTTAGCATCTGCAGACATTGAACACGCTGCAAACTTGAAACTAGGTGATGGAGGATCTGTTCTTCCAGGAAAACAACTTATCTCACTCTTTTYGTCATTATTAGAAAGACCAGATGTATTGACAGTGGTGATCCACTTAATGGTTTCTTCTTTTATCTTGAATCGAACTTTCATCTCAACTGTCATAGTACCATCTTGATTAAAAATAATTGATTTCTCAATATCGTCTTCAGAAGGATATATTGATAAGTTCTGAGAACCATGTTTTTCTAAGGCCAAGTAGTTTTCAGGAGCAAAAGAATAGTCTGAGCAGCAGTCAATAGTATGTGTTTTGTCAGAAGAAACAGAATAAATCTGGGATCTTGGGGTCGAAGACATATGTGTGTTCACTTTCAAGATTTTAAGAGTAAAAGATGCCCACATCAAAATATAACATGAAAGGTAGAGAAGTTATAATATCCAATGGAGGAGGCAGCAAAGAAAAGAAGAAGAAAAAGGWAAATATTAGTACAAAAATACCATATTTTCTGTATTTCACAGTAAAATATACTGATATGTTTCTAATCTCTATGTTCAATGGTTATTTGAGAAAACAATGTAATATCTCATACATTTCTTCAAATTACTCTTAAAAGAAACTTGTAAATCTACTTCAATGAGAAGATTCACATAGTTTTAATTTAAACAAATTTATGAGGTGATTTAATAAAGCAGAAATTACTAAGGACTCTATTGAAATGAAGGGATTTCGTGATTTTACAGTTAGTAAAACTGTCAGCTTATCAAGAAATGCTTATCAATTTAAACAAGTAACAGTAGTAACCTATCTGTGTATATGCAAGACAGACACCTATAGCTTTAGGAAGGCAGAAAACATTTTTAGCATTTAAGACTGAATTAATCAAATAATAAATTTAATATTCACTTTGTATAGTCATTGCAGTTGATTTACTACATGGTACAAAAAAGAACAGTAAGACACAGGTCCAATATTATTTTTTATTTGTTTTAATTAGTTATATATGATAGTAGAATGCTGTATATATTATACGTAAGTGGGGTATAATTTCTCATTTTTCTGACTGTACATGTTGCAGAATCACATCAGTCATGATGTTATTTTTAAAGTTTTTTTTTATAATTAACCTTGGTGCTCCTGCTTCTTCAATGCAATCAAATTCCTATTAGTAGTCTATATTTATGTGCACATGCTTACAGAATATAGAATACCACCAAGTGTTCATCTTTAGTGTTTCAGAGTATAAATCCAAAAATATTTTTATTTTTGATATACTTTTACTGAATTCATAAATGAAAATGTCTCACTATTAATTTTTTTGAAGTGAAATGTAGCAAAGCCCTCAGATTCCCTGAAGTCATCAAAAATCATAATCAGCAGCCAATATCAGACACAAAGCAATAAAACTACATCAGTAAAATGACCAAGGTGGAATAGTACTACAATATACATAACATTTCTGGCAGCATAATGCTTACAAAAAAGAAGCATTAACAATGACCTATTAGTGATTGTAAGCTTATCAATTGCTTATCAAAATTCTTTCATTGATAAGATATGATACCCATGAAATGATTAAATGACAATAAATGAGTTTTCTCCACATTAGTAGTAAGTAGAGGGATTAGTACCTCTTAAAATGCGTAGTATGTCTTATTCTGCATCTAAAAGCAATGAAAATTAAAATCAAAGTATAAATGGCAATAAGTATATTAGCATAGAGCTAAAGTTTCCCTGGATATACTGAGCACAATGAAGAAAKAGATTAATGTGCCCGACACCCCAAGCCTTAAGAGGTCCTCCTTCTCTCCTATACAAAGGATAATGTCACACCATGCAAAAGATCCTAAGGAATCAACTACCCAGATTACTGTCAACCAGAAAGATTTGGCAGCATGAAACTTTTGTAATAAATAAAAAGTGGTTCTAAAGACCTATAGTTTTTACAGGTATAACTCAAGAAGGTAGAACATACAGATAGATTAGAAAAAAATATATAGTCACTGCACTAACCTGCTAAACTCTGCTATGAAAGCTGCATGAGACCATTTAGGAAAAACTCAGCAACTACCAGAAATGTTATACAGATTCCACAAAATTCATTTCTAGAGCAATAAAGTCTGACATTTTGATTTAACTAGRTATTTTATGCAAAAATATAAAACAAATAAAGCATACTTCATCAGTTTACACAGATATATCATTGATTTGGAAAAGTCTTTTTTAAATTACCAGATAATCTCTGTACTCTTTCCAACTAAAAATAAAACCAATTTCATTTTAGAGTGGTTTTAATCCTCTTATGTTTTATTTACTGTGATAAATGAAGTTGGTCATTTAGTAAGCATGTCTCTTTTTGCTCTTGAGACAAAAGTTGTCAGGACTAAAAATAAGGCCTATTATGTGTAAGTGACTTACTCTTTCTGCTTTCTGATTTAGCATTTCCCTTCCGATGCACACGATGGGAGATCCCTGGTAATCTAGCAGGAAGCAAGTACTTTTGGATGTCATAATTCCCTGGTTTAAACGGCTCCCTTCCTGCTGCCACCACAGCTCCAGAGCTCAGGATCACTGCCTGGAGACTGGGAACCTAGAAAAAAAACAGAGTCATGGTCCTTACACAAGCAGGTTTTCTTCTTTCCRTGAAATAATTTTATAACTTGAAATCAGTGCAATAACCTCTCAGGTTTGAAAGACAACATCAAGCATTTTCTTAAGCAAAAAATTGATGTAAAWTGATGTATATAAAATAACTGGAAATACAGAACACTAAGGGTAGGGGTGACTAATACAGACCCAAGAAGTCTATTAAGCCTACATGTTAACTGGAAAGACAGGCTGGTCTTCTGGCATAATTAAAAAATCTTTAAAATGTATATGTCACTCCACACCRAAGTCTGCAGCTGCAGGGCAAGCTGGGAAAGGGTCTGGTGGACATAGCTGGTCAGGAAAGTGAACTCTTGTGGACATGCTGTCTGCTGCTGACCGCAAACAGAAAAAAAAAAAAAAATGCTTTCCCTAGCTAGAAGAACACTATCCATGCCATCCTCATCCAAGAATTATCAATATTTTTGATTCTGTGCCACAGCCTTATAACTCAAGGAACGCATGGAGTAAAAAGAGAACCTCGTGCCCAATGCCTCTGCAG